TCATCCCTGGATGAGCCCCATTTTATGTTGGCTCAGTGACAACACTCAGCTGAACCAGAAAAATATCAAAAAACGGTCACAGGTATCATCACAAATTCAAATTTCTTACACAACAAATTGGCCTTAAATTTTCCAAAAATCAATAAAAGGTTTCTGTCTCCAACGACATCTTTTCTATGTGCTTCTAATTTTTTGACCAATCTTTTCCATGTTCTTCCTTTATTCAACTTCTCTCTTCTGATATCTTGCCAAATCAGTTAAGGAGAAAAGATATCCCATTAGGTAATAGCCGATCATCTTCTCATCACCTAAGAAAATAATATGCACAGAATGCATACACCTCATCTTTCTCTCCCTCATCATGTTAGAAAAATCATCCCTCCTTTTCTCACAAGGCAAATCTGAGATAAAAGATTTAGATGGCCTGTAATTCTGGCAATTGGGGAGGCCAATGCAGGCAGATTATCTGAGCCCAGGACTTTGAAACAAGCCTAAGCAACTGAGGGAAACCCCACCTCTAAAACAAATACAGATAAATAATTAGCTGAGCATGGTGGTGTGGTGGCGCATGCCTGTAGTCCCAGCTACTGAAGGTGGGATGATCACCGGAGCCTGGAAGGTTGAGCCTGTAGTGAGCCATGATCATACCACTGCACTCGAGGCAGGGCAACAGATATTTTTAAAAGGGTCTTCTCTGTGAAAAAAATAATCAGATAAACAGGTGGCCATGAGGCTCAGGATGGCTCCCATGCAGTACACTCAGTTCCTCCTTAAACAAACCAAAACTTGACTCAGTGTAAATTAAAGGAAACTTAAGCTTAGCCAGTCAGAAACCATCAACTAACATCTACCTAGAAACTTTCCACTGTAATGATCCAAATGAGACCCCTGCACTTCACCAGATCAAGCATTTTCTTTTTCTTCTACATTCACAATGTAAGTCTTCCCCCACCCTCCGGAACCCTCTTTGTTGGAGCTCTGAGCTGCTTGTAGCCTGGGGCTGACTGGTTTTAAATTTCTGAATGCTCAAATCTACCTCCTAATGTTTCAGAGTGCCTAATCGTAATCTTTTAACAGCTCTCAAGGTTACATCATTCTTTCTAGATCCTCAAGTTCTCCTTCAGTGGACTGATTCTTCAGTATGTTAACATGCTCTCCTCTATCATCCTAAAGACTCTCCTAATATGGGCAGTTTCTTACAAAACTACACATACTCTTACTATGTGATCCAGCAGTTGCACTCCCTAGGTCTTTATTCAAATGACCAGAAAACTGATGTCCACACAAAAACCTGAACACAGATGTTTATAGCAGTTTCTAAAATAGCGACCAAAATGTAGGAAGAACTAAGTTGTCCTTCAGTAGCTTAACTGATAAATAACACTGTGGTATATTTAGAAAATGAAATACTAATCACTTCTAAAAAGAAATGAGGTATTGAGCCATCAGAAGACACTGAGGAATGTTAAATGCACATTACTAACTGAAAGAAGCCAATCTGGAAAGCTATCTGCTCTATGATTCCAAGAACACAACGTCCAGAAAAATGCAAAACTATGGAGACTGAAAAGATAAGTGGTTTGCAGTGGTTAGGAAAAGAGAGGATAAATAAATAGAGCACAAGATACTTACCATAGTGAAAATATACTGCAGGATATCGTAACAGCTATGATGATACATTCATTATACATATACTGATTATACATTTCTCCAAACCCTCAGAATGTGCGTCACCAAGGGTATCACTCTGGGTGGTGATGACATGTCAGTATAAGTTCATGACTATAGCAAATATTCTACTCTGGTAGAGGAGGTTGTTAGTGGAGTGACCCAGGAGTGCACAGGAACTGAGGGCACATGGGAACTTTGGGCTCTGTACTCCATTTTGCTGCACATTTGAAACTACTCTAATAAATGTCTATCCCATAGCCCTTTTCAGGTCTCCAACTGGTCTGAGCCAGTTCTATTAAAGCTCAAAAAACACTGGTTAATAAGCTAGATCTGACCCAACTGGCAAGAAAAGGCAGGAAAGACCCAGGCCAAGAAAGTATATTTCACATGCATATACAAGGAAACTGGAGGAAGCTTGGAGGCCCTTTAGCCTGTTCCTGAGCCCGTTGAAACTGCAGATGCAGGCACAGATGCCAGGGGCACCAATGTGAATCTGCCAACATCCAAGGTCACATGAACACTAATGTGCAGAATCTCCTCTGCAATTGGTAGCTAAGGATGTTAGGCCATGATAGGAGATGAACTGAGAATAGATTCTGTAGGCTTTTGCTGCCTCTTCCCAGCCCCAAGCATTTCACTCTCTGCTCATGCTACAGGCAGCAGGGAGGCTTCCTGTGAACATCATCCCCACAGCCTACAGTTGTGTCACTCTCAGCCTCTTACACTGTCCTATGGCAGTGTCAGTCAGGACATCCAACCCTGAAAACTCAAGGGACCACACATGGCCAACATCACGTCGGGGTGAACACACTCCCTCCTCTGATCTGCAGACAAATGTGTCCTACCTTCTGGCCCTCTGCCAGCAACTGGAGGCTATGGAAATTTCCAGACACACAACAGTCTTCTGAACTGCAGGCTGCTGCCCCATCCTATGGCAGAGTAGACCTTTTCTCCACTAGACTTGGCCTGTTATCCAGTTGAATGAAATGTCTTTTTAACACAGAAACTAGGGTTCTTTGGCCCTGACCCCATCACACGGTTTGCAGGTACACACCAGTCCTGAGTAAATATCACCGAATTGAGGCCTCAGGCCCTAGAGTGTGCACATTGGCTCTGCTTTCAGAAAACATCAAGGTACTGTTGGAAAGTCTGCAGACTTTATGCAGAAAAACAAAAATGAAAATAAAATAAGTAATGAACACACACACACACACACACACACACACACACACACACCCATAGTGACTAACAGGATCTCCCTCCAGCGCATTTGCAGAGAGGGGAGCAGAAAACATTCCAGGGGTCTTTCACAGCTACTTCCTTGAGCTCCTTTTCTGACCGTGCTCTCTAGACCTGTCTCAGCCCAAGCACCACCACCGTGATATGCAGGAGCTAGATTCCTTACCTGAAATTCAACATCAGGAAACAATCTCTTCTACTTAAAACTCATAGGAATATCCTGATTCAATGTCCTCATTGGCAGGGGTGAAGCTGGGGAGTTTCTTTAAAAAACTGAGGCCTCTGCCTACCACCAAGAGAAGCTGGACGTTTCCATCTATGCCATGAAGTTCAAATCACTGGCCACTGCCCCAGTGTATGGCAGTGTATGGCAGATTAGACCATCTCTCCATCTCATACCATTAAAAGGACACAACCGGTCTTTATATGCCTCCCAATAAGAAAACACAACCACCTGGGAAGAAGTTTTGCTGAAAAATAAAAATCAAATTTAAATCCCATCCAACTGCTACATGTTTCATCCATCAGGTAAATACAATCATGTGGCTATTTAAATTCATCTTAAGATTAAATAAAATTTACAAATTAGTTCTCCCGTCTCACTAGCCACATTTAAAGTGCCCAGTAGCCACAACCCACACCTCGAATATATATTCCAGTCATCACAGAATTTCTATCAGTAATGCTCCGTACCCATTCACAGGAAATACAGGAGGGCCTGAGACACTGCAGAGGGATGCAAAGCAATCCACAAAATCCAGAACATGAGAAATTCTACAGACCAACGACTTGGTTTCTTAAATAAAATGTAATAAAAAAAAAGAAATGGGAAGGAAGATTGTTAACTAAAAATTTTAAAAGACAGACGGAAAGCCCATAATGAAAATCAGATAAAAGTAAACTACGATGCTTATGGAAGCATGTAAGAGGAAACCAGGAAAAAAAGAGTTGCCCCAAGAGGCTGGACCACACCTCCTTCCACAGGGAGGAAGAGGACCCTGGCTGGTGTCACAATCAAGCAGCAAAGCTTGATTTCCCAGCCTGAATGCTGAGTACAGGGGTATTCACCTTCTGGCAACCCATTAAGTTAAACAATTGTTTTTACATGGTTTTCTATATCTGTATTAAATTTCACCATTAAAAAATGGTTAAATGAAATCTCATAAAGAACATTAAGTGTTACCTGGAAAATTACAATAGGCACGATGAGAGCAATTGGGCCTCTGTGAGAAGTGACACCTAAGCCAAACTGAATTGACAAAAAAGAAGGCAGCCTTTGGAAGATCAGAAGATTCCAGAAGAGAATATAGAGAAAAGGGGTGATGCAATGGCTCACTCCTGTAATCCCAGCACTCTTGGGAGGGCAAGGCAGGAAGATCACTCTCGCCTAGAGTCTGAGACTAGCTCAACATGGTGAAACATTGTCTCTACAAAAAATGCAAAGAGCAGCCAGGCCTGGTGGCTCGTGCCTATAGTCCCAGCTACTCTGACGGCTGAGGTGGGAAGATCCCTTGAGCCCAGGGGGTCGAGGCTGCATTGGGCCGTACACTTGTGCCACTGCACTCCAGCCTGGAACGTAGAGCAAGACCATGACTCAAAAAAGAGAGAGAAAGAGAAAAGGCCTAAGAGGAGGGTAGGCTGTGTGGCATTTGAGTACTGAATGAATTCCAGTGTGACTACAAAATGGTGAGCTGCAGGAAGAACATTTACAGGCATCACAGATTTCTGGATGCTTACAAATAGCAGAAACTAAATGTTAACTCAGGGATGCTACGTATATCCTAGTGATAAGACACAAAATACATCAGATGTATAAAAATTTATGTGTGATGCTTCAAAATAAAGATTTGTGCTACTGTTCACACTGGAAGCTGAACCTGTCCTCCATGGGCTGTGCAATGGACTAACTAAACTCAGAATGTGTTATTGCTTAGAATGCATCAAGTGCCCACCACAGTATCTGGGAGGATGACCTGTCATCCTGTAAAAATAAGAAACCAACAACAGGTACGGAATACTGTCATCAGATAATCTTATTTTAGAATAACTCTCTAATAAATCAAACGTATTACCCAGCCTTACCTCCTCTAAATCCCAGTCATGGGGCAACTCCACAAGAAATCTGAAGCAGTCCAAAGAGTCAGCCTTGTGCTTACACGCTCTGTCAGGCTGGCTGACATGAAACAACCCTCCAAGCTCTTCTCAGGTATCATAATCTTCTTCATTATCTTGTGTCACTAAAGAGAACACCATGGCAGAAAAGTGAGAACAAAACCTACAGCCCTAGAGGACTCATTGTTTTCATCCAGTTAGGCCATGATTCTTCCAACTCAGGAACCAAGGGCCTCTGTCTGTGGTGGGTATGGCAATGGCCACATATGAGTCAGGCACTGAGAGGGCAGGTCAGCTACAGGTAAAGAGAGGCCAGGAAGCTACTGCTCTACATGTGTTGGGGCTCCTGCACTCCTGCAGGGTAGCAGCTAAGCAGTTGAGGAGGACTTAGAATTGAGGAGTCAAGGAAGGAAGGGACATTTAAAAGCAGAGCTTTCGATTATTAAAGAAGAGCTCTAAAGAGGGTTGAGCCTCTCATCACTGAGAGTACATAGACAAAAGCTGAACGAAAATCAGTACACAACAACCCTCCCAATTCAGTGTGCCGAGCCCAAGTGTCTCACCATGTGGCCGTGATCTCATCGTGCAGTAACCAGGGAACACAATGTAAAGTTCACCACTCTGTTTATTTTGGCATTAATTCTACCACAAAGAACATATAGGTATGTTTAACAAAGCGTAAAATCAGAGGACAAGGGCAAAAGGGAGAATCAAATGTGTTACACAGGGTTCTCATTCTCAGAAAGGAACAAATAAATACTTTTATGGGCAGAAATATTTTTCTGGCACTAAATTCTACGAAAAATTTCTCATGAATGACTTCTTAAAAGGGGACATGACATGATGTGATGGACACGACTTGCATCGAGTTTTACAGCAAACCCAGAAGTGTACTTCACAAGACCAATGTGTGGTCCTCGTAAGCTGATGATTAAAGACATCTGCCAAATAGGAAATGTGACGGCCAGCAATGATGGATGTCAACAATACCAGCCCAATACTCCAACCAATTCCCTATCTCCTTTTTAGAAAATAATCAGAGAAACTGAAACATTTCCAGCTTTGAACCAGAATTCTTTACCTGTCCCATAAATAAGCTTTTGGAGGTTTGGAGTTGCTTGTTGCTGCCTCAGAAAGGCCTCAGCTGCCTTTCTGGAAAGGTCTTCCTTCAACGTGAGGGCATCTGAAATGACAAATGCCAACCTCCAGTTAGACTTGTTTACGTGTTTCCCCTCCCCCGAGATCCATCCACAATGCAGCATTTCAACAGTTACCAAAATCTCAGAATCAACAGACCCCCAAATGTAGACATTCCTTTGGGTACCATTTCGAGAGTCAAGTTCATAGCAGCAACCAACTCAATTTAAGCTTACCTGAGGCTTCTGTGGAATCATTCTTCTCTTCCTTGCAATCTTCTTCGAGTAAATCTTCTATATCACTGGTCTCATTAATTAATTTTCTTCACCCCAGTTTCTGACCACTGCCCACTTGAGAAGGCTCTGAAACCTTTTTCCTAAAAGGGTCCTCATTTTCCAAGTCCTCTTCCTCTGCACTGAGCGAAGAGCTTTCTTCAGATTCCTCTTCAGATGCAAATGCCTCGTCAGCTGTGCAATGCCCAGAAATGAAGAGGTGAGGGCTGCTTTCTTCATCGACAAAGACTTCTCCAGATTTACAGGGTCACTCCAGGGATTAGCTGGTGACAGCTCTGCTTTACTACCTTCTCCAACAGTCCTTGATCCTGAAATGCCCCTCTCTCCTGCAGTACCATCCTCTTCCTCACTGCTTTCCCCAGCTTATTCCACTTCCCCTTCTGCTGAGCTCCCCTCAAGCTCATTGTCACGGACAGCAAATGCTGGCAAATCTACTTCACTGGCTTCTTCAAACTCCTCAAGTTTCCCCGTTTGATGCTCTTAGCAGGTCATATACTGACCAGTCACCTCAGAATTTTCCTCCTCTTCTGCTTCCTGATCACTAGAGACGGTTTCCAATCTGTCATCTTCAGAAATTTCATCTTCTTCATCACCACTATCTCCATATCCATCTTCATCTGCAAAAATGGCTTTCTGATACATTCGATCAGTTTCAAGCCCATTTGTTTTTCTTCCTTTGGCATCAACAGCCTATATTATTACCAAGGAAATTCAAAAGAATTCAATTTGCGGGTTCATCTGCAAATCTAAAATGACAATATAGTCAATGAAAATACAAAGAAATAGAAAATGTCAAAGAATTGGCCGGGCGCGGTGGCTCAAGCCTGTAATCCCAGCACTTTGGGAGGCCGAGGTGGGTGGATCACGAGGTCAAGAGATCGAGACCATCCTGGTCAACATGGTGAAACCCCGTCTCTACTAAAAATACAAAAAAATAGCTGGGCATGGTGGCACGTGCCTGTAATCCCAGCTACTTGGGAGGCTGAGGCAGGAAAATTGCTTGAACCCAGGAGGAGGAGGTTGCGGTGAGCCGAGAGCGTGCCATTGCACTCCAGCCTGGGTAACAAAAGTGAAACTCCGTCTCAAAAAACAAACAAACAAACAAACAAACAAAAACAAACAAACAAACAAAGAAAATGTCAAAGAATTGTTTAGGATGACATAGCAGAGGTAAAAAATGATCTGATAAACATTAGAAGAGTTAATATGCAAACTCAGGTATGGTTCCCTAATACCACACTTCAAAAAATATAGAGAGAGAATAAATGAATAACCCTTTAAAAAGAGTAATCTAATTTTAGAAAACAATTGCTCAAAAAGGAAGTTATTGTTTTGTAGGTCTTTTGGAAACCTCATCAATCTCTAAGCTAAAAACACATGATCCTTAAGAGAAATGGCTAATTCCAGGCCCAAAGTAGAAAGAAGATAAAATGAGCCTGGATCCTCTTGTTCTGTCAGAAAGTAAGACATGCTCAAAGACTAACAGAGACAGTTGAAAGGACATAGGAGACAGGCTGAAGGCTCTCGCAGCCGAATCTGGGACAGCATAGGCATCAGAAAGAATAATGACAGTGACAGAAAATAACCGGTGGAATAAAACGCAAGTGCATTAGTCACCAGTGATACCGAAATAAAGGGGAGAAGTGAAAGTTCTTTGTTAAAAATGCCAGCTAACAAATGTAGGAGGACTGACAGAGGAAGAACATCCATTTTAAGTCACCAGTGCCATAACTGATAACGAAGAATCATCAGGAGGCTAAAATCACAGGATGAAACACGACTGCATCAAGCTGTTTAACATAGTACAATACATAAAATTATAAAAACATAAACTAGGAACAACTAAAAATCATACCATAAGAGATGGGTAAGTTAGAATACAGCAATAATAGGCAAGGCTAAGCCAAGGATTTTGGGAGGCCAACGCAGGAGGATTCCTTGGGCCCAGGAGTTCTAGACCAGCCTGGGCCACATAGTGATACCTTATCTCTAGAAAATCGTTAAAAAAATTTAGCCAGGAGTGGTTGAAAGGACACAGAGGACAGGCTGAAAGCTCCCACACTCCTGCAGTCCCAGCTACTTGGGGGGCTGAAGCGAGAGGATCACCCGAGCCTGGGAGTTCAATGCCGCGGTGAGCCAAGATCATGCCACTGCACTCCAGCCTGGGAGACAAAGTGAGACCTTATCTCAAAAACAAACAAAAAGAATACACCAATAATAACAAAATAATGATGACATAAAGACTGTATAGAAAAAGAAAATGCTCAGAATATAGAAATAAAATTATGTATTTAAACTGTAACTGTATTCGAAGGCAGTATTCTTGTAGACAAGGATGACTAGAAGGATATGCAAAAATGAAAACAGCGCATAACACTCATTATAAAAGAGTGATCTTTCAGCGAACACTTCGTATCTGTCAGGCACTGTGCTAAGTAGTTTATGCACAGTGTAACAAATTACATACTAGATAAACTCAAAATTTTCAGATACATTTAACTGGGAGTCATAAATCAATACAACAAAACCAATGTTTTGCAAACATCTACTATCTATAAACGCATACAAATTTCCAAACCAGACTGAAAAAGAATTCACATAGGCCACACATTAGTGGAAACCTACCCACAGGAGATAGTACAACATAATCTAGATAAAACTTTCGGAGCCAAGGCATGTGTCTTCTGGACAGCCACAAACTCTGGCTCTGCTCTAGTGTTTTGGCCACCAAAAGAAAGCCAAGTGGCCTCAAGTCCCTTAAAAAACAAAAAGCAGGCTGGGCGTGGTGGCTCAAGCCTGTAATCCCAGCACTTTGAGAGGCCGAGGCGGGTGGATCACGAGGTCGAGAGATTGAGACCATCCTGGTCAACATGGTGAAACCCCGTCTCTACTAAAAATACAAAAAACCAGCTGGGCGTGGTGGCGCATGCCTGTAATCCCAGCTACTTAGGAGGCTGAGGCAGGAGAATTGCCTGAGCCCAGGAGGCGGAGGTTGCAGTGAGCAGAGATCGCGCCATTGCACTCCAGCCTGGGTAACAAGAGCAAAACTCCGTCTCAGAAAAAAAAAAAAAAAAAAAAAAGCAACCTATGGAAAATGGCATGGTATTTGAGGACTATTTGAGGTCTGTTGAAAAATGCATCCTGGGAGAGAGATCCAAGATGGCTGATCACTAGCAGCTCGGGACTGTAGCTCCCAGTGAAAGCGCAGAGAACGAGAGGATGCCACCCTTTCAGATGAATTCTTGTTGCTCACGCACCAGGAGATTCCCAGCAGAGGAGTCCCACGGGTCGCCAGCGTGACCGGAGAGGCGGTTTTGCCGGCGCCTCAGCGGAGGGTCGGTTCTTGGTGCAGAGTCAGAGAAGCACCATCAATCTTAACGCCCCTGTTTTAGTCAGCGCAGTGGGTTGCTCAGATTTTGGCGCTGAGAATCAATAAGTTGGATGTCCACTCAGAAACCCAATTACAAAGATGGTAATTACAAAGACCACAGACGGATAAATCTACAACGAAGGGAAGAAAACAGCCAAAAAAGGCTGAGAGTACCCAAGATCAGAACGCCTCTCCCTCAGCAGGGGATCACAGTTCCTTATCAGCAACGGAACAAGACTTGATGGAGAACGAGTGTGTTCCAATTACAGAAGCAGGCTTCAAAAGGTGGATACTAAGAAACTTCTGTGAATTAAAAGAACTTGTTCTAACCCAATCCAAAGAAACTAAGAATTTTGAAAAAAGGTTCGATGAAATGTTAACAAGAATACACAAATTAGAAAGGAATATAAGTGAATTGATGGAGCTGAAAAACACAATACGAGAACTTTGTGAAGTATGCACAAGTTTTAACAGCCGAATTGATCAAGCAGAAGAAAGGATATCAGAGGTTGAAGACCAACTTAATGAAATAAAACAAGAAGACAAGATTAGAGAAAAAAGGATAAAAAGGAACGAGCAAAGTCTCCAAGAAATATGGGACTATGTGTAAAGACCTAATCTACGTTTGATAGGTGTACCTGAATGTGATGAAGAGAATGAATCCAAGCTGGAAAATACGCTTCAGGATATTATTCAGGAAAACTTTCCCAACCTAGTAAGGCAGGATAATATTCAACTCCAGGTAATACAGAGAACACCATGAAGATATTCCTCAAGAAGACCAACCCCAAGGCACATAATCGTCAGATTCACCAGGGTTGAAATGAAGGAGAAAATACTGAGGGCAGCCAGAGAGAAAGGTCAAGTTACTCACAAAGGGAAGCCTATCAGACTTACAGCAGATCTCTCAGCAGAAACCCTACAAGCCAGAATAGAGTGTGGGCCAATATTCAACATCCTTAAAGAAAAGAACTTTCAACCAAGAATTTCACATCCAGCCAAACTAAGCTTCATAAGCCAAGGAAAAATAAAATTTTTTGTGAACAAGCAAGCACTCAGAGATTTCATCACCACCAGGCCTGCTTTACAAGAGCTTCTGAAAGAACCACTACACATAGAAAGGAACAAACAGTATCGGCCTTTCTAAAAAATACCAAAAAGTAAAGAGCATCAATATAATGAAGAATTTACATCAACTAATGGGCCTAAAACCCATCAGTATGCTGCATCCAGACCCATCTCACATGCAAAGATACATAAAGACTCAAAACAAAGGGATGGAGAAAGATTTACCAACCAAACGGAAAGCAAAAATAAATAAATAAACAAAAAGCAGAAGTTACAAATTTTGCCTCTGATAAAATAGTCTTTAAAGCAACAAAGATCAAAAGAAGCAAAAAAGGACATTATATCATGATAAAAGAATCAATGCAACAACAAGAAGAGCTAAAGATCCTAAATATATATGCACCCAATACAGGAATACCCAGATACACAAGACTTATAAAGAGACTTAAGACTCCCACATAATAATAGTGGGAGACTTCAACATTAATATTAGACAGATCAATGAGATAGAAAATTAACAACGATATCCAGGACTTGAACTCAGATCTGGAACAAGCAAACTTAATTAACATTTATGGAACTCTCCACTTTAAATACACAAAATATACACTCTTATCAGTAAAACATCATATCAACTTACAAATTTAAATGAAATATTGGTTGGTCCTTGTTTGTTATTTTCTTCCCTCATTTTTTTTTCATGTCTCCATTATTAAGCACAATTATAGGCGTACCCATATTTAGACTGCATTCTGGCCCAGACAATAAAGCAATACCCCCATTCTCTCTCCCTCTTCCTCTTTCTCTTTCTTCCTCTTCTTTATTCTTTTTTTTATTTTTTCTCTCTCTTTCTTTAGAAAAAAAATTTTTTAAAAATTTAAAAAATAAAAAAATAAAAATAAAAATAAAAAAAATCATGCCACAGCACTTCATCCTGGGTGAAAGAGTGAGACCCTATCTCAAAAAAAACTTATCATTACCTAGAAATATAAATACAATGCATAATTAGCGCAAAGAAGATAGTTGAGAGAGAAAAAAAAAAAGGATCTATCTCAGTAGGGCATTTGGAGATCAGCCAGCAAATAAGGTGGATTATCAGTTCTCCTGTGCTAAATCACGAGTCAGAGTATCGGTTTATCTGCATTTTTAAGAAGTTATCTTTCAATTAATAGAAGATTTACAAAAACAATGCCCTCTACACTCTTAACCCTGACATAGCCTGAGAAACTAGTAGTGTAGAAAAAAAAAAAAACCATTAAGGAATATTGGCTAAAGGTTACTTTCACCAACAAAAGTACTTTAAGTACCAGTACTACCAAGATGCAAAAAAAAAGTAAAAGAAAAAGAAAAATGCATCCTGTATTTTATTTCAAGTAAATACTTTCTTGTAATGTCAGGTAAGTAAAGAGCCCTCAGACACATGCACACACAAAGAAAAACAAATCAACCTAGAATGAATCCCATCAAAATGTGTTCTGATGGCAGAATTACACATATTCTGTAATATGCCTTTTTATTAAAAATAGATGGCTCACGCCTATAATCCCAGCACTTTGGGAGGCCTAGATGGGTGGATCACGAGGTCAAGAGATCGAGACCATCCTGGTCAACATGGTGAAACCCCATTTCTACTAAAAATACAAAAATTAGCTGGGCAAGGTGGCGCACACCTGTAGTCCCAGCTACTCAGGAGGCTAAGGCAGGAGAATTGCTTGAACCCAGGAGACAGAGGTTGCAGTGAGCCGAGATCACGCCATTGTACTCCAGCATGGGTAATAAGAGTGAAACTCCCTCTCAAAAATAAATAAATAAATAAATAAATAAAAATAGAAAAACAGCAGACTTACCCTTGATTATCTATTCTATATCCTCTAACCCAAGTGGCTTGGAATCAGAAAACAGCGTCACTTGACTTGAAGCCATCTTGGTATCAATGATGGAGTTGGTGGAGATCAGACTCTGGACCAGCTCATGAGTGGACCCCACCTCATCCTGTCGAGACCACCAAGAAAGGGTATGTGAGGAAAGCACAAAGATCCTGGAGAGACACTGGTTTCACTCAGTTTCTCAAAATTATCTTAGACACATTTCCTGAGAACCTTTCTTAATGTCTCAAAAAGCAGAGAAGAAAATCTTCACAACAAAGCTTGAAATGGATCCCCATCTCCACTAAACTTTTCCAATATTCTGGGGGTATATAACCTGATACTCTAAACACCTAGCTAGAAAAACCTCAGTTCCAATGGTATAACAATGCTAGCTTTTCTAACATTTTAAAGTAACCCTGATTTTAACCCAATACAATTCAACTTCAGAACTGACAAACATTTGAAACCCACTTTAAAATACAGAGGAGGAGACCACTGTGAATGAGAAAAAGAAAAAGACCAACGAGAGCCGGAAAGCACACTGATTCTGTAGAAACGGGCACGGGCCGTGCAGGCGCCACACTGGCAGCAGTGCTCGTGCTGGGGCCATGGATTGAGGAGGCACGGAGGACAGGACTCTTCTGCGTGGTACAATGAAAAAAAAAGTATTCTTTTAATTCTATAGATTTACAATATGCATTCGGGCCTTTATTATAAGTACAAAAGAAAAGTCTTCAACAAATAAAAGCTGAGTACATTAATTTTTGTGATTAAAAAATAGATTCAGAAAGAAGAATGAGAGTTCAGAGCAATGAATCCTGTCTCACTGATGCCCCAAAACTGTGGCTGCCACCAAGGTCAACACAGACAGTGTCTTTGTCATACAGCACACCCCCAACTCCAGAAAGAGGTGCATAAACCAGCTTCTCCTCCTCATTTAAACAGAACTTCTGTTGTTGAGGAAGACACAAGGGTCTGGGAAGAAACTGACATCACTCACGGCGAAGTCTCCTACCCCTAGAAGACAGGCACCTTTTAAAAAGCCAGCTTCCGCTGACAAAAGTCAGTAAGTATCTACTGTTGACAGTGGGGGTAAAAATGATCCACAGTTCAAGGGCTTGAAACATTTCACTAAAGAAGGGCACTGCACCAAACCGGAACAGTGCCCCTCTAGCTACAGGAGAAGACAGACTTGATAGCACGGTTGCAGGCCTACACATCGCTGGGTTACTTTTAAAACCTCCAGCAAGGCCATCTTCCCTTGTTTGGTCATATTTCAGTTTTCCTGAGAAATCAAGTCATCCCAAGAATCCTATGTGTAATTCTAACATGTTCTAATAACAAGACAATACCTGGCATGTGAATCTGCCTTTTATTTTTTAAGTGCGCTCTTCTTTACCATATAGTGACACCTTCTGGTCCCATTTGATGTTTGTTTGTATATCCTCTCAGTTTGTCAAGTCTTCCACCCGAGAAAAATAAATTCCGTCATAAAGTAGAAATGAATGTCAAAAGTTCCTATACCTCCTTTCATCTGTCAATGACTCACCACACTCTTGTCCACTAAACATGTCATTCAGAAAACTAGAAAATACAGAAATAAGGAAGCACCATTCACCATCCACCAGAGGAAAAGGGGCAGACATACCACTGTAGGCTAAAAGTGACATTCATTCCATAAGACACCAGACAGGGAGATGATATCCACCTGGGGTCAGGGAAGAGTGAAAAACATATTCAGAAAATCCCTTTCTGGAAGAGGGCAAGCCTGTACTCTGGGATTTTTACTGTGATGTGGCTTCTGGCAGGTGGAAAAGGGTATTCCAGGCTGAGAAAACCACATGAGGAAGAGCACAAAGGAAGGAAACTGAAGGCACACATGAAGAACTCAAGCACATGGACACAAGGCAGCATCACTGAAAACTGATGCTGAACACAGGACGGGGCCACATCCTGTAGCCTTAAGTGCTTCCAAGTCCTCCCATTTTCCTAAATACTTCATAATTAATTTACTCCCAAAGACACAGCATCTTGGAGCAATAGACATTTTCCATCAACTACACTTCTACCCCCACTATTCAAATAGGCAAAACATAAATTCTATCACTGTTCTTTTTCTAGCCTTTTTAGCTTTGAAATCTATGACCCATGAAGAAAAAGTTTACAATCACTTTTTACCTGTCTGCCAGGATATAAGGGTGAGAAGTTTGCCATGTGAGAGGCCTTAACTTCATAACTGTAATAAAACGGCCCAGAGTGCCAGGCGTCCCCAAACTACGGCCCGCGGGCTGCATGCGGCCCCCTGAGGCCATTTATCCGGCCCCACGCCACACTTCAGGAAGGGGCACCTCTTTCATTGGTGGTCAGTGAGAGGAGCACAGTATGTGGCGGCCCTCCAACGGTCTGAGGGACAGTGAACTGGCCCCCTGTGTAAAAAGTTTGGGGACGCCTGCTCTAGACATTAAGGGAAAACTAACAATTATATTTCAATTAAATTCTTGTCAACACTGCAGCAAAATAAAAGCTCTAAACAAGAAGCAATCCTAAGAAGGGAGACTTACAGCAAAGTCCTGAGGCTTCCAGAGCCTCGCTGGCTTCTTTCAGGACTTAGAACCCCACAGAGGCAGACTGCTCTGCAGCCGAGCAGAAGTATCCATCTAAGAATGGTGAGGAGATGGAGATGAGGCTTCTGAGCACAGAAATGGTTCTGGACCAGCTCAAAGGACAGGTGGAATATCTTCACACCACATCTGATGACACAGAGTGCCAAGGGGCAAGCAGCTGGTTGTAGGATCAGGAAGAACACTGGCTTAGATGCCAATCTTTGTCATCTAAGCCAGTGTTACACCCCTAATCCACACACACACCTACACACCTAAATCCATATATTTTGTGTGCCTCTGCATTCTCAGTAAGCTTTAACAACCTAGAGCAGAGCAATCAAAATAAGCTAGGCTAAATAAATTATGGTGCATCCATAGGATGGATTAATAAGGAGGCAGAACTACAGTACTCACTGATTATATACCTCCAAGATGTATTACATGAAAAAAGCAAAGCACAAAACTGTATAGAATAAGCTACCATCTGTGTTTCTAAAGGGTGGCAAGTGTGTTTATATGCATCTAGATGGATCCTGCCCTGCAGGGATCTGAGAGATCAGCAGTTAGAGCAGAGAAAAAGAAGATGCGCATTGTGTGTATCCTGCATTACAGTTAGAGCACTTTACCAAGTATGTGTCTTCCTTTTGAAAATCTTAAAATGATTTACATAATAGGCATCTCTCTCAATGATGGCTAAGAGACTGGGAAGGGTAGCAGGGAGGGAGGGACAAAGAGGGACAGGTTAACAGGTACAAAAATACAGTTAAATAGAATAAATTCTCGTGTCCAAGAGTACAATAGGGTGACTATCATTTATTATATAATTCAGAATAACTAAAAGAATGAAATCAAAATGTTCCTTATGTACAACTATTATGTATCCATAATAATTAAAAATTTAAAAATGTAACGGCATCTCTTAAAATGTACGTCTTCAAAATTAGAAACTTGCTACGGTTTAAATAAAAGAGACAAATGACTCCTATAAACTATTTAAATCATTTCAAGTACACAAGATTTAGTAAGCTTACACGACATTAATAATAACACTTATTTGTACTAATAGTAGCATTACACGTTCAAAATTTAAATGTTATTTAGCTTCCTAACATTACAATGGCACAACTTTAAAATCTGTATTACTTTTTACTTTATATTTTAGGAGTCTTCCTGGGCCAAATTTGTAGCTCTTTGTCACAAAATGGCTCTCCAGTAAAAACTAAATAAAAATGAAACTCCCAAGGCATTTGTCACCTCACACTTCCTAATCAACATGGCTTATTTTCTTCTCATTTATATTTTATTTTTGCTAATTTAAAAGATAGTTAATAGAGTATCAGAAACAGTGAACATTATCATTTCCATAATCAAAAGTGCGTGTACATTTTACATACACTCAGTACTGTCTAGATTTTCTATTGATAAACTCTGACCACTTCTGCAGGGCAATTCATATACTTACTTTCACATTAAGGATGAAGATTCTGGAATCATTAGGAACAAGGGACCCACATTCACACAAGTTACTTAACTGCTGGGAGACTCTATTTCATCTTATGTAAATTACAGATAATACCGAACTCACCTCAAGGGTTCATGTAAGCTAAATTTGTAGAAAGCAGTTAGCACAGTGCCAGGAAGGGTCCAAAAAGAAATGATACTTATTATGATATATTTTGTACATATATACATATGCATGTTAATGACTTCTTATTAGCTGTGTTTATTAAAGGTTTTCTCCATCCTGTGATTTGCTTTTAGATTTTGGAATATATTTCATTGTGTACCTTCCATTTTTATAATTAATGTAAAAACATCTACTATTATTGTTATCATCAATTCAGTCACATGTGCTGTATCCCTGATGATGACCATGATTCCTTTAATAATCATAAAATACTCTTCCCTTTATCATGGGGTAAATAACTTATCACATGCTGTAAGTCTCCATCAGCATCCCAGGTTGCCCCTACTAAGTTACTAGATCTGCTACTTTAGCCAGATCAATAATAATGTTAATGTCATACCCACATTCAATAAGGGGTGAATGCGCTTTTAACCTATAAGTAAAAAGATGAAAATTTTACTTTAAAAAGACTCTGGAGAAACCCTAACCATCAAATCTCATTTTCATTTTTTTAATTGCATCTGCTAATCACCATTTATGTTTACAGGAGTGTATCAGAAGTTCATTTTTATGGGCAAAAACTAGTAACATAAAATAAATTCCATCCTGTTTTTCTTGCTGTGTTCTATACTGAAACAATATTGAAAGTCTACCCAGGTGAATCAAAGTACTCAAACAGAAAATCCTGACAGGACAGACCCTGTGATAACCATGATCCTGCTGTTTAGCTGCAGGCCAATGTCTTCAACTCTAACAAAACTTCCTGTATTCCTACTATAGCCAAAAATATCCTCAAACGTAATACAACAGAATATTCATAACAATAATTATTTCTAAATTAACACAAAAGGAAAACAGTCAAAAAAATATGGGTTGGGCACAATGGCTCATCCCTGTAGTCCCAGCACCTTGGGAGGCCAATGCAGGCGGATCCCTTGAGCCCAGGAGTTTTGAGACCAGCCTGGGACACACGGGGAAACCCCAACTCTACAGGTGGCAGAGAAAGGAAGAAAAATTAGCCAGGTGTGGT